TTGCATTTCCTTAACTAATAGTGAAGACATTGACAGAGTTGGCGGCCTCGCCGGAATATTGAAAGCTCTCAGTGCAGAACATTAATGTTGCTTGTGGTGAGCTTTATAAGAACATAAGTACTGCAGTTCAGACCACCAAGTCCATTCCATTTTACAGGTCTCTGGTGGAAATTGTACTTGGTGAACACAATAAAGCCAAATAAAATCCATACACATTACACATTAAAGCTTTCAAGATTAAAGATTGGCCATGGAGACATTGTGGAAGTCTAGCCTTTCTAAAATGTGGAGGAAAAGCAGAAGGCTGATAAAATATGGAGATAAAGTTTAGTGAATTACTTGAGATGCTACTCAAATTTGCCAAGTCCAATCAAGGATTATTATAGGCAGATGCACAGCAGATCCACTTACAGGGATTAGAAGTACCTGCAGCATTGATTATCTGAAAGTTGGACGAAACAGTTTCACATAATCATTTTACATCCTTATAAAAAGGTTGTTTAGGCAAGTGAAGTACTTAAATAAAGTGTCTGAGATGACATTTCAAAAATCAATAGAAACAGGGTACAAGGCACAGCAAATGGAAAGGAAAGTTTTATCTTCCAGGCAGAAGAGTATAATAAGACAACTGTTATTAGACTGTGTCACACTGACTTGAGTTGTGTTTAATTTGATATTTGATTAACTCTGGAGTGTGTTCAAATCCGGATGCCTTAAAAAGCCACTGAACAAATTGCAAGATGGTTCCTATAAAAGACCTTTACATAGTGTTTTTATGTATTTACCTATTGGAACATATGTGGTATCTTGCTATATCTGCATTATGCCAATTAACTTTGTTGTATTTTAGTTTGTTTTATTATTAGTTTGGAAACAGTTCTTAAAGAGGACCAGAAAAACAAAAGGCAACCAGATGAATTAAAGAATTTGTAAACCCAACATTTCATATTCCTGTTGCCTGCTGTACCATGTACTTTATGAAAAAGTCTCCTGTTCTCTTTGTATTACTTCCTTTGTGTGAAATCCCTGGTGTTCCTGCCAGTCCCTGTGCTTTCCTATCAAAACTGACCACACTAGGTATGAGAACGCGCCATGGTCAGTTCTCTAGCTGTGATGGGAGCTCAGTCTGCTCTCCTCCAATTCACTTCTATTTACTGGGAAGATCAGTGTGCTGCTGCTTCTCCTCCCCGAGCTCCTTAAGCAGCTGAGAACAGAGTGTATGTGATCACTTATTAAAAAGGGGAAAAAAGGTATTTATATTGTTCTTTAAATATATACACAAATGTTTTGCCTTTCATTTCTATTACAAACTGAATGGGTTGTTTTACAAGGTGAGGGTTTACTTTAGTTAACCACTTCAAAACTGGTCACTTTCACCCCCTTCCTGCCCAGTCCAATTTTCAGCTTTCAGTGCTGTGGCACTTTGACAATTGCGTGGTCATTCAACACTGTACCCATATAACATTTTTATCATTTTTTTTAGACAGAGCTTTCATTTGCTGGTATTTAATCACCACTTGTTTTTTTATTTTTTGGTACACAAAAAAGACTGAACATTTTGAAAAAAAATCCCTTTTTCTTCTTTTCTGTCATAAACTATTGTGAATAAGTAATTTTTTTTCTTTACGAATGTGTGCTGATGAGGCTGCACTAATGGACACTGATAGGCTGCACTAATGGGCATAGATAGGCTGCACTGATGGGCACTGATAAGGTTGCACTGATGGGCACTGATAATGAGGCACTGATGGGCACTGATAGGCTGCTCTGATGGGCACTGATAGGCTGCACTGATGGGCATTGATTGACACTGATAAGCTGCACTGATGGGCAACTTCTGGAGCTGCACTGATTATCAGGGCACTGATGATCAGTGCCATGATTATCAGTGTAAACAAAGTGCTGTCAGCCTTGCCAGGTATCAGCTGTTTCTTCCTCACACAGACACAGCATGTAAGGGAAAGACTGCCGATAACCAGCCAGTCTGTTTAAATGTGATCAGGTGTGATTGGACACCACTGATCACATGGTAAAGGGCAGCTGTGACTGGCCCTTTACTGCAATCTGTGATCAGTTGTGTCCACAGGACACAGCATTCACAGAGCATGCCCAATGCATTCCACAGAGGGTGCCTATGAGGCGCATTCTGGAGAGACATCTATAGATGCCCTCCCAGAACAAGAAAACTGTGCTGTAGCCATCTATTGGCTATAGTGCGGTATTAAAGTGGTTAAATAATAACCAAAATATCAGAAGCAGACATACATAAAATAGTATGTCTATAATAATAAGATCAAAAGATCTTTTGCACCTTCAGCTCCTCACCAATGGAAACCTGTGCTAAGAGAGATGTACAGGCTTGTATTGTTGAACTTCTACAAATACTAGTTGCCTGTAGACATGTGCACACTGGAAATTTTCATTTCATTTTGTTTCGGATGCATTTGTTCATTGAAAAATTTAGTTTTGTCAGACATTTTCGAATTAGAAGGATTCAATATTTTCAGATGCTAGTCCAATCCACCAAGAGAAATGGCATGAGCTGATTGGACAGTATCTACTGGCATTGTGTGCATCAGTGTCATTTGGGTAGATTTACTGAAGGAAAATAGACTTTTTTACTTTGCAAGGGAATTTTCACTTTGCAAGAAATTTTTCCTTAACTTAGTGAATGTAGTGAAAATCTTTCAAAGTATGAAGTATAGATGTTTCACCCGATCATCCAGTCACTCTCTTCTGTATATACAAATTCTGAATGCATAACTAGAGCCAAGTATGTCAAGGGCTGGGGTTATTCCTAAACCGGCTTTCTCTACATACATTAAACATGGCAATCTGATTAGAAAGCAAATGAACTGTAAATTTGCTAAAAAATTAAATATTATATAATATTGTATAAAAAAGAATGGACATAATTCATCCTCTCTGAGGGCATGCCATTGTCCACCATAATGCTCACCAATGCAAATACACCAATGCAAATAAAAAATTGTTATTAAAAAAAAATGAATGTACGCATATAATAACCAATTTATAAACTATGTACTAGTACATTTCATCTTGTTTTTATTGGTATAAATAATGTTATAGAAAAGTTTCCCTGGAAATATGTTAAACCTCACATCACTTTGTTACTTATCCCAGAGGTTACAGAAAGAGACATCACATGGTGGCAAAAGTCCAACCCAACAACATGTCCATTCCATAGGCTGCCTGTAAGCAGATAAAAAAGCCAAACAATGGAAGCATCAGCGTAATACCAGTCTTCAGTTTAAATTAGACAATGGCTGAAGAGTTAGCATAGAACTTTTTTCTGGATGACATTTTCTAGGACTTTCAGGCCAAAATACTAGTGTGGGATTTAACTTAGAATTTTCAGTGTTGGTCATAAAAAAGTTTTAACACTTTGACTGGCACTTACATATCTGTTCCATTTTGCTGCAAAAGTAGCTGTGAGCTTGTTTTACCAGAAATGGCTAGCCATTTGTGTTTTCTATAGTGGTCACTTCTACAGTCTAAAATATATTGTGTTTCCAACTTTCCTTTTGCTTTGCTATCTTAGATCTGTCTTTACTGTTTGGGATCTCTTTTTAGGATGAAGAACTCCAATTTAGTTATTAAATTCACTATGTCTCTAGTGTTAAAAGTTAAGCCATAAGCACCCTGTTAAAAAAAAGGTTCCCTAACCAATTGGGAGAAAATCTTTTCAACCCAAATAACTTTAAAGTATTGGGAAAATACCTTCAGAATCACCTACAAGGCTACCCAATGTAGCTCCCACTGGGAGTCATACTTAAAAATACTCCACCAATGGTACCTGACTCCGGTCAAACTTTCCATCTACTACCCGAAACAGTCCTCTACCTGCTGGAGACTCTGTGGTGAGCCAGGCTCAACAATCCACATTTTGTGGTCATGCAATTCACTTCGTTCCTTCTGGAATACTATATTCCAGTTCATTTCTGAAATACACAAAATTCAATTAGCCCCGAACCAATCGCTAGCACTCCTACACATTGGAATTGAGAAACTCCCTCCAAGCTCCAGAACAATTATTACCCATATACTCTTTGCTGCAAAAATTAATATTACTAGACTATGGAACACAAACAATACCCCCACAATCACATCATTGATTACAGACCTTAACACTCAATGCCGAATGGAAAAACTATTCGCAATCAACACTTCCTCCTATCACAAATTTGATCTCCAGTGGACCCGATGGCTAAAACACCCTAAATGTAATATACAACCTTGATGACATTTCAGGAAACGAACTCACACCCCGCACTTAGACTGGTATCAACTCAATTCCCCAGCTATATTCCTCCCTCTCCACCCTACTGCCCCTCCCCCCCATCTCCCCACCACCATCCTCCCCCCCCCTAATTCCCCTAACTCCTCACCAAGGCCCTTCAAAGGTACACAAATACCTCTGATGACGTTGCTAAACAAGACTAATACTCCATCTGTCCAGAGGGCAGATCTACAACAAATTGATCAACCATATTTGCCTACTGTAATGTTGTACGATTTAACCTTTTCTCTTTTCCCTGTTCTTCCATGTTTATCCTTGAAAACTCAATAAAAATATTGAAACATAAAAAAAAGGTTCCTTATATGTAACTGTCCAGCTGGTTGCAAGTCCAATTTTTGCTTTTTTCAAAACCTATGGTTGTTGGTATCCAACAATTTATGGTGTTTTAGATGCCACATCCTTGGTGTGTGCTGTGGTTCCACCTACCAGCATCTGTAACAGTGTCTACTATAATAGAGGTTTACAGTGCAAACCACTAGTGTATTTGGTTAAACATTCCAGTTTGATAATCTTTTGCAAATTATTATGAGGCGCACAAAAAAAAAAAAATGCTCAATGGATCCCTTTCATTTTCTAAAATAATATATAGTTTATGGGTGAGTTAAGGAACCTTAAATCTGTAATATGCATTTTCATGCATCAATCAATTGTTCTTTTATTTCCTTCTTTTTACGATCAGGTACACCGAGGCATAAAAGGAGTAGTGAAGGATGAACATGGAAATCCCATTAAAAATGCCCGCATCTCAGTGAGAGGAATTCGCCATGACATCATGACAGGTACTTTTCCAACTTTTTTATATTTATGGTGGTGATGTACAGCACACAGTATAGCAAAAAAAAAATCGGGAAGACAGATTTTAAAACTAAAATGAACAGGGGGTATATTTATTAAAGCTGAAGTTCACCCAAAAGGGGAAGCTCCACTTGTTTACTGTCTCCCCGCTCCACTACAACATTTTCCCCTTTTTGGGGGGAGAGTGGAGTGGGTATCTGCTCCCACTTCTGGTCAGGAAGTTCAGCCCACCCTCCTTCCCTGCAGCCCTCTGAGACACTCCACAGGTCTCAGAAGATGTTTCTTTGGTTTTTAGTGCTTCAGTCAATCATCCTCCCTTTCCTCATGGCCTAGAAGCAACAATAGAAAGAGAACTGTGCATAAGGTAATGAGGTGATTGTACCCGTATTAGTGCTCTTGTGACAGGAACAATTGAGTACTGTCCGAGATACTTTTTTCATTTGCACTAACATACAATTTTTCAGGTCAAGGTTTCGAGGTATGTCCCCTTCTGCAAGGTCCAAGCAGTATTAATAAGGTAGTAGAAATTAAATATGCCTGCTGGGTCAGCAAGTTTACTTGTTTATGACAGGGTGAGACACTCAGACATTTTCTCATGCCTCTAAAGAGAGCCAATGCTTTCCAAAATAAGAGGGACCGGTTATTTTAGTTTAGGGTTGCAGGCATGTCCAATCACAGCTGCTAGCATAAAAATTAGTAAAGTGAATGTAGAGATGTGGTTTTTTTATTTATGTAGTATGTATGTAAGTGTTCAAGTGTATGTGAAGGCAAAGTGTTAATATTTGTTTTAGATTTTTTTAGATTTGGAATAGTGAGTGGTCTGTGTCCCTGCTAGGGAGATTAACAATCTCTGTATGTCGTTGTGGCCATTACCACTGAGACAGAATCCAAAACTATATAGTTGTCATCAGAACAAGAGGTGATCATTCAATGGGGACAAAAATTGCAGTGACAACTAAAGCTGGTATAAAAGAACAGTTTTATTTTTCATTCTACCGGCCTGTTGAACGAAAAAAAAAACCGACAGATCCCCACATCCATACAATTGATTTGGATGTGGTTATCTCCCCTGCCTTGCTATTGTATTCTGACAGCAGGGACTCCTCCCCTGTCAGAATACACTGATCGGCGCTGCAGTCATTGGCTACAAGCACTAATTGATTGCTGGTTTTCCCACAGGATCATTTGACGGAAGCTGGTTTAATAACCGCATATTTTACAGTAATAACACACACTTTATTTTATGAATGTTTTTTGTCAGGGTCCCCCAAGGTTCTGTTCTTGGTCCTCTCCTGTTCTCGATCTACACTTCCTCTGTGGGTCATTTATTAGCCTCCCATGACTTCCAATACCATTTCTACACTGATGACACCCAAATCTTTCTCTCTACCCCTCAGCTCATACTATCAATCTCTACACACATCACTAATTTACTAACAGACATATAAGTCTGAATGTCACACCGGTTTCTCAAACTCAATCTATCTAAAACTGAGCTTATAATATTTCCTCCCCCATGTGCCCCCACCCCTGACTTCTCTGTCAAGATCAAAGGTTCAACCATCAACCTGTTCCCACATGCCAAGGTACTAGGTGTAATTCTGGACTCTGAACTATCCTTTCAGCCTCACATCCAATCAATATCCAAAGCTTGCCATCTCAACCTCCGCAACATATCCAAATACGCCCCTTCCTAACCAATGACACCACAAAGCTCCTCTTTCACTCCCTGGTCATCTCTCGCCTCTACCGTTGCAAATCCCTCCTCACTGGATTACCTTTACATAGGCTATGTCCTCTTCAGCTCATCATGAATACTACTGCCAGATCCATTCACTTTACCAACCTCTCAGTGTCTGCTACCTCTCTCTGCCAATCCATCCACTGACTTCTGCCAACACAAACAACAACGTATAAAGCCATCCACTACTCTACCCCCCCTCCCCCATCACTAACCCAGTTTCAAAATACTAACCTAATTGTTCTCTATTCTCTATGATACTCCCAAGACCTCCTGTTTTCTAGCTCCCTTGTCACCTCCAGAACTTCTCTTGAGCTTCTCCCATCTACAGGTACTCCCTATCCCAATCTGTTCAATTATCTCCTACTCTGTCCACTTTTAGATGATCTCTGAAAACCCTTCTCTTCACAGACGCCTACCCTGCCCTCACCTAACAACTGTACTTTTATTTTCTCAGCTTTTCCCCCATTTATTATAATTTATATCTCTATACCCTGCCTCTTAGTTTATAAGCTCTACTGAGCTGGGCCCTCTGATTCCTCCTGTATTAAATTGTGTTGTAATTGTACTGTCTGCCCTTATGTTTTATAGTGCTGCATGAACTGTTGGCGCTATATAAATCCTGTATAGTAATAATTGAATTGCAAACAATTTTCAGAAAAACCCAGTGTGTTATTTTATCTGCTAATTATAAAGCAGTATTTATTATTTAGTGCATCAAGCCCAGTGTCCTGTACTGGACAGTTAGTTAGGAAATAAGAGTTTTTGACTTTCCTGTAAAATTATTTTCTTGAAATAGAGTACAGGACACAGACCACCCTCCTGCTTCTTAAAAACTGGTGAGATTATATGGGTTTAACAACTTTTGTTTGCCGGTGTCCTCATCTGAAGGTAGTGGTGGTGTATAACTCATAGTCAAGGCTTAAAGAAGCCTGTGTAATGTACTGTACTCCAAGAAAATGATTTTACAGGCAGGTCAACAATCCATAAAAATAATCTGGAAGACTGAAAAAGTAAACCTTGTTTTCACCAAAATAGAGTGTGACTAAAGGCAAGTTGTTTTTTTTCTTTTTGGATAGAACAATGGAGAGTTTTAACCCCGTAATTCTTCCCATTTTGGACATTTCCCTTCACTTCCTGTCCAATAGCTAAAGCAGAAAGTGATAGGAAATCCCTCCAAAGTGAGAGTATCCTGGGGTGTCACCAGGGTCATCAGAACTAGTGTCCCTATTGGACGATTTGCTCTGTTCTGGTGATTTTTACTGTTCTGGTGACAATCGAAAGTTTGGGATTTTCTTTTGTTATTGCTTTTGATGATAATGCTAAACAGGACAAATAGAGAGGGTGAATCTCCCTAACAGTGGAAAGACAGCAATAAAAATTCAAAGATGTTCTAATCCCTCTCCACGCTGCCCAAAACTAAAAAAAAGTGTTGCCTTTACTTATACCTAAACAAAAAATAAAATGGCTGTAGAACTCTACTCATTAATCAATTGGGGGGTATAGAATGTGGTAGCCACAGAATACTGTAGTCATATGGGGCCAGAAAGGTAAAATCTGGTGAACTCATGAACAAGAGAAGCCAGTTCTCAAGTTTAAAGCAGACTAGCATGGGATGAACATAACTACTCAAATGCAGAAGAAAATAATTTGAAATTATGGGCACATAAATTAGGTTGAATTTTCTAGAGTATTTTTTTGTATGGGAAGGAAAAAAAAAAAATGTATACACACCTAGGCGGATGCAGCATTGATATGAACATCAGTTCGATTCTGCATATGTCCCCTGCCAGCTCTGTACAGAGAACTGAGCGATCAAAGACCACTGATATCGCTCAGTTCTCCCCCTCTGCTCTGAGCAGAGAGCCGGGACTGCCAGTCTCCCTCAGCGCTCACTGAAACACTGGGCTGTGGAGGCAGGGGGGGGGGGGAGGTTGGCTGGCTCAGTATCTTGGCAGATCGCTGAGGGGCTGAGCCAGGTGCCAGTCCAGGGTTCTGATCAGGATCTTTTCAGAGCCTGGACTGGCTCTGTGATTTTTAACTAACTGAACTAACTGCACTCCTGTGATCCATGGGAGAAGTATACTCAGAAAAGCTTTGGCTATACTTCTCCTTTAATTTCTGTAATGTTGGCAATATGGAGCCCAACTGGTATGAAACTGCAGTCATTAGTTTTTTCAATGGAATCACTGTCTTCACCTCAAGGTATAGCCCAGGGTTTCCATAAAATTTTATGTTGTGATCATCCTAAACTTGATTGCATGTTAGATGTTAAATTACTTGAAACAGTATTAAAAAAGCAAAACTGTAATATATTGCATCTTACCAATACTTTAATGTGGCGGGTGCATTCGTTTTCATTTTAGGCTTTTTTGGTTTTTTCCCCTTTATCTTCACCTCGGTCATCCAACCAATAGCACACTTCCTCTTAGAGTATCTCCACTCTGAATGGGAGCCACAGAGACACCTTTGGACAGCAGCATTGTCAGTAAGGGGAGAGGGTAGTGTTAGATACGCTAGCAGATTTAGATGATTTGAGTAACTAATTAAAGTCAAACGTTTGCTAACACTTTTATTAGCAGTTACAGCAACAGTTTTTTTTTTCCTTTTTGTAAAAAAAGCACCGCGCGCTCCCAGCACAAAGACTGTCAGGTGTCACTGAGAGCCCTAGGTCCCGTTCTAACAATTCCGGGTCACATGATCATTATGATATCCTCTGATTGGCTATAACAGTGATCTGTCACTGTATAGCCCGCCCCCCCTTGTTTTTTTTTCTCTCTGAATGGAGGAGAGAGATACATTGTATCTCTCTAACTCCTTGCATAGAGAAAAAAAAACAAACTGTTTGTTAAAAAAATAAAGATGAATAGATATTAAAAAATAAAATAAAAAATAAAGAAAAAAATACTTAGATCAAGGTTTGATCTAGTTAAGTTCCATGGTTAGTGCTTGAGTCAAGGTCATGGTCAAAGGTCTGGATAATTTTTCTTTTTAATTGGTATCAGCGTCAGTTAGTGTCAGTGTGTTTTTAAAAAAAAAAAAAAAAAACAAAATGTGCACTATTGTTTCTAGGCTTTACTACGTGTACAAGCTACAAATATCATACACATTTATGGTATCTCTGCGATCGTCAAGAGCTGGAAAATTTATTTTGGATTGTTCTTTGGTGGTAGGTTATGGTAGTAACAAAAAACACACAGCTAAATTAAAAAAAAATATTTTTTTTTTTACTATTTTGGTCCAGTTTTCCTTTGATAATAAATAAAAATTAGGAACTATCCATTACCATTTACCAATAAAATGAAAGCCCAATTTGTCCTGAAAAAAACAAGGTATAATTCACCTGGATGTACAAAGTAGTTGTGATGACATGTACGGTTTTACTAACACTTGTCAACGTTGCAAAATTGTGCTTAGGCATTAAGATTTGTTTTACCCTTAGGCGTGAAGGGGTTAAAGGAGTTCTTCAAGCAGAGTTCCACCCAAAAGGGGAAGTTCCAATTTAAGCCTTTGTCCCCCACTCCCCATTAAGGCTTGGCACCTTTGGGGAGCGGGTGCCCAAACTGACAGGTACCCGCCCCCACTTCTGCTGCGATCGTCTAGGCGTTCAGAAGCGGAAATTGCCCCCCCTCCCCCGTAGTCTTCTGGGACACATGACAGGTCCCAGAAGACTACAGGGCCATTCACAAAGTGCAGTGCTTCTCCCTCATGCGCAATGGGCACCTGGCTGTGAAGCCGCACGCTGTCACAGCCGGGTGCCCACACTGAAGATGCCCGGTGCCAGGGAGAGAAGACGGCCGGTGAAACCAGCCATGGTGAGGACACCGCTGGACCGAGGGGCAGGTAAGTGTCTGTATTTTAAGAGTCAGCAGCTACAGTTTTTGTAGCTGATGACTTTTATTTTTATTTTTCAGCTGAAAGGACACTTTTTAAGGCTGAAGGTTGTTTACCTTCATGCAGTCTATGTAGGAAATTGAAAAAAAACATCAGTTTTTAGCTCCCCCCATACTTACTTGACCCTGGTCTTGATCCAGCAATGTGCATGATAGCAATGGCTCTCCTGGGTCTCACTCTCCTCATTGGCTGAGACGCAGCCATTGGTACCCACTGCTGTCAATCACAGCCAGTGAGGGGGAGCAAGGGCCTTTTTGACGACAGAGCGGGGCTTGGGAACGAGCATGCATGAGTGTCACTTTAGCAAGCGACTTGTTGTGGGGCCACTCGACAGGGAGGATGGCTGCTGTGTGAAAAACCATTGCACAGCGCAGGTAAGTATAACATGTTTGCTATTTTAAAGAAAAAAAAAAGTACCTTTACAATCACTTTACCTCTTTGTTTAACATTGCCAAAAAGGTAAAAGCTGTTTCCCATGACTTATATTGCTATTATCAGTGGATTTTGTAAAGTGTATGTAAACCCTAACTGTAAACTTGAATCTCACCAGCTCTTTCCAGCTGTTAAAGCAGTAGTAAACTGCAGGTATAAATAAATATCCCCTGCAAGGTAATGTCATAATGTGATAGTGTGCATTGCATACTAGCACATTATGAAGCGCTCTTCACCCGGTTCTCCTTCCGCGTTCACGCGCTCCAACCATCTGACTGGCTGATAATATCACTCCTGTGTGTCGCTCCTGGGCAACGGCACAGTGCTCTGAAGGAACGGCACGGGTATGCCATTCCTTAAAAGCGCATGAGCCAGCTATCAATAAGAGCTAATATCTCCTAACCGGTAAATGTTTAGGAGATATTCATTTTACCTACAGGTAAGCTTTATTATAAGCTTTTCTGTAGTTATTAAAAAAAACAGTTTTCTACCAATTTAAATAAATTATTGAAAGTGTTTTGTTACATCAGTTCAAAGTGGGCAGAAAATCCCTGTTGATTCTGCCAGAAATCGTGTGAGCTGATAACTTATTGTGCTCTCTGCTTTTGCTGTCTGTTATCGGTTACACTTTTCCAAGCTCTTTTTGTGGACTGCAGAATTCCTCACCCTATGTTATGAAGAGGGACAGGGTTTTGTATTGCCAAAACACTTCCTGTCCTAATGTGACAATGCTGTTCCTCAAGAATCAGATGCATTGAACCTCTAGGAAAGCAAGTGTGTTACTGACGGGTAAACCTAAAGGAAAAAAAAAGCCCAGTGTGGCAGAACCGTTCCGCCTGGGCTTCCTCGTGCGGAGCGATGCGTCTCAGCCAATGGTTCTCTCGGCAAGTCTTCCAGTGCTCTGCCAAGGCGGGTATTAGAGCTCAAAGACAATCCTTCCCCGATATCCCAAACCACGAGTCAGAACTTCATGTAGGGTGAATGAATGAATCTTTATTGAACACAGCTCAATATATACAGCACATCCTGGCAGTTAATCCCTACCCCCTTCAGCCCACCCCCACCAGAAAGTCTGGCACTTGGTTCCCCACCCACAACAAAACTCTACAACACAACAGCAGTCAGCTCAGTATGAAATCTAGAAAAGTAAAAGACTACAAGTTCAAAACAACAAACAGTGTAAAATGCCTGTCTACATATCAGCTGCTAAACATATACAGCTTTAAAAAGGGTAGAATGGGAAGACCACTTAACCAGGGGATAAAACCAGAACAGAAAGGGCAAAATTTTATCACAAACGGACCATTCGTTACACTTAGAAAAAGGAAATTAGGGCAACCACCACATCTAAGGACTGGTAAGCTGCAATATATTTAATTTTGTTACTAGCTATGATTTGTTGGTGCATAATAGATGTGTAATTTGTACATTTCCTAACTATGTACAGATTTGACTCCTTTTTCACAGGTATTTTTGTCCCTGTTCCTGCTTGTTGTTTTCTAAAACCTCCAATTTGTCTTCATTTGTGTCCATAGTGTGTGAACTGTGAATTTTCTGCCTACAGCTGTTATCTAACCTCCTCCGGGAGAACTTTTCTAGATGCTGTTTCATCATTTATTTATAAGAAGATTTTGAAAGTATTGATTATCCTTTTAGCCGACTGATTTTTCTTTACTCTTTTTCTAGCTGAGGATGGAGATTATTGGAGACTCTTGATTCCTGGTGTCTACATAATTTCTGCTGAGGCTTTCGGCTACTCAAAAGTCACCAAAAAAATTACCCTACCAGCAAAGATGACCAAGGCAGGACGGGTTGACTTTGCCTTGCAGAGGGTTGAAGTTAGTAACCGTAGATTTAATAAAGTTATTCCAGAAGACATTTATGATCGATTAGACCCACTAGACTCCTATGACCCACATGCTCGACAAGGACAAGGAGAGGAAGAGGGTGAACTATCACAAGACAGAGAAAAACCATCGTGGTGGTCTTATTTCAGTATACTTGGTCATAACAGACCTTTGTGGCTACTTAAAAATAACTAACTCTGTAATAATTATTTTTGTACCATCTTTCAGATTGTTTCTTAACAGTTTCAGGTTTGTCTTATATTACTGTAGCGTAAAACTAAAAGTTTTATCTGCTTTCATGGTAATTCCAATTATTAAGTGATGAATTACCAGGCAGCAAATGTCAAAGTACAGAGAGTATGGAAAGACATTTTTAATAAACATAATTTTAAAAACAGATGTCGTTTTGAAAGCTTAATTGTGCACAGGCCAAAGATATTTAGTCAAGTCTCCCCAAAGCTTGTAAAGTAGGAAGATCACATGGCTTTGTATTTTTTGTTGTTTTTTTTTTTGTGTATTTCACCCAGCCACCCAATCCTTTGAAGTGGTTGTAAATGCTCAAGGATTTTTGCCTTCATGTATTCTGAAGGTAAAATACCTTCTGTGTGTAGCAGTCCCCTCAGCTCCCTAACACTTACCTGAGCCTCATCCTGATCCAGCGATGTCCTTGAGAGCCACAGTTCTCCGGGGACACTCAGTCCTGATTGGCAGAGGCAGCAACAGGAGCCCTCCCACTGTTATCAATCACAGCCAGTGAGCCAATCAGGAGAGGGCAGGGGTGGGGGGCTAAGCCATGGCTCTGTGTGTGAATGGACACGCAGTGCCACAGCCCAGGAGCATGCATATCAAGCTTCTTGCTGTGGGGGCACCTGACAGGAGGGAGGGGCCAGGAGCGCCGGCACGTGACCTGAGAAAAGGAAGATCCAGGCTGCTCTGTGCAAAACCACTGCGCAGAGCAGGTAAGTATAACATTTAAAAAAAAAGACTTTAAATCTCTTATTACATCCTTCCTTTAGGGTTAGCGTTTAAGATTTTTGGTAGCTTACTGAGTGTTCCAAGGACTGGATTCCAGCCTTGTCGTGGCTGGTTGGTTGCATAATTCATAGAATAAATTATAAATCCTTCACGTCCTCTTAAAATGATTGGTTTGACTCAAACCCTGCTCTTCTTCACCCAGAAAAACCAACACCAGGATAAGGGAGGGAGAAGATGTTGGCACCAGCAAGGGAGTTTACAGATGACACATCACTGGAAGGGTGGTGAAAATAAAGGGTTTAGTTCTGCTTTAAGACCAGATGATAGCTTCTGTGGCACACTTCACCTATAGCAGCCCACTTTCAAGGAAGCTTTATATGCTTGCTCTAGTACTTGAGTACCCCTGCCACTTAAAATGTATGTAAACTTTCACCTTGTAAAACAACCCATTCTGTTTAAATTTAAATGAAAGACAAACATTTGTGTATAGATAAAAAAAATTATAAATACCCTTTTCCCATTTTTTTTTTTTGATAAGTGATCACGTAGTCTTTGACCTCAGCAGCACAGAGAGGTGAGGGAGGAGCAACAGCAGTACACTAAGCTTCTCAGTGATAGGCTGTGTAGCGGAGGGTGTATTAGCAGAAGTCTGATCATTGGAGGAGAGCACACAGCTAGAGAACTCACCATGCTTTGCTCTCATGCCTAGTGTGCTCATTATTAAAAAAGCAGAGGAACTGGATGGTTCACCAGGGTTTTCACACAAAGGAAGCAATACAAGGAGAACAGGATACTTTTTATACAAGTACATGGTACAGCAGGCACATATCAGGAATATGAAATGTTAGCAACAACTCTAAAAGCTGTGCCCAAAAATGGCAGGCAGTGGAGAAACAGCTAGTCACAAGTATTGCTTGTGGTTTCCTTGCAGCTGATCTTTCTTCCTTACTGACTCACCAGATTTTGTTCTATACAGTGTCTCCATGTGGAGGTGGCCATCTTGGTGGAGGCAGGGCTTTGCTTCCTTGGCTTCTCCAAAAAAAAGTGCAGCACAGCAGACAAATCACCAAATTGGCTAAGAATAGCAATCAGAGGCCTTAGATATCATACTGTACATGCTGTATACAGTTAAGAGGCAGTAGGTACAGGAGTGCCTAAGTACACATGGTACAGCAGCTACAAATACTCTAAGGAATTTTCTCTTGGCTTAGAGAATGAGGTAGAGTTATGGCAACTTTCTTCATCCAATCAAGTGAAAGCAAAAATTCAGTTTTTTTTTTTTTTTTTAATTTCCTTGCTCAAGATTGGGTATTTTTCGCAAATAATAATGAATTTCACATTGCAAAATGTGCATGCACTACTGCTTTAGTAAATCAGCCACACCGCATTGCCTTCCAGTGTAATAAACTATTTGTGCTTTGGCAAAACAAGTGTGCGTGTGATTGTGTGATCATTGTTTAAAAAATGGAATAATTCATTGGTTTTATTGTGCTCCAACATTCAACATTCCTGAGGATCTGTGACAGGTTGTGTTTGGTTTATATACATACGTCTTACAGTAATTCGTTCATATTATAAAAGCAAATGTCAGCAAGTGCTAAAAGAAAGTTTGCTACAGCCAAATATCCTAAGAATATTATTAATTGAGTAAGGGGCGTTTAATTAAATAATACTTCCAAACAAGAAAATGAACGAGGGGTGTTCAAGTCAAACCAGGACTTTTGAGTTTATATAATCAAATTTCAAGGCGTGGAAACTCCATTAATTTTTGGACATACTCCCCTGCTACATATATACATTTATGCCAACATTTAACTCATGCCTGGAAAGCTTCGGCATAGAAAGATTTGACATCCTGCTTCACTTCGTCATCAGTGCTGAAATGATGACCTTCAAGGAACTCTTTTAGGGGTCCAAACAGGTGGAAAACACTCAGAGAAAGGTCCGGGCTGTAAGGGGGTACCTCCCAGCTAAGTTGCTGTAATGCGCACATAGTGTGGTGAGCAGTATGAGCTCGTGCATTGTCCTGGAGGAACAGGACACCCTTAGTGATCAAACCAGGCCATTTTTTCCGCAGACACGTAAGCACACCACTCAGAACACAACAGTAATATTCACTGTTGATAGTGGCACCTCGGGGATGAAAATCCACATGAATAACACCATGTTTGTCCCAGAAAACACGCCATCACTTTACCTGCAGATGCAATTGTTTGACATTTTTTTGGTGGTGGTGAGTCCACATGATTCCCCTGCTTTGATGCTCATTTTGATTCTGGATGTTCACAGAAATGACTGCTATGGGCTGAGGACCACCACAGCCGGGATCGTCACTGACGAATATATGGCCATTTTTGAAATGTTTACACCATTCAAATATTTACTGTGGCTGAGCATCTCATCACCGTACTGTGCTCAAAGTCTTCTGTAGATATCCGCAAGCTTTGCACCTTCGTTCACAAGAAACTTTATCACCTCATGCTGTTCCATGCATGTATTAACACTGTTGTCTGCCATCTTGAATAACGGTCTCTAGACTGGCCCACGACATGTGCGCCACCTATCAGTAATAGGATACGCTTGCCACTTACTGCTGTGTAGTACCACAATGCTAGCATCCCTTTTTATATCTGTAAAATAAAAGTCCCGGTTTGACTTGAATGGCCCTCGTATTTTCTTTCTGTGAACGGTGACTAAGGTAAACTTTGTGCAGACGCACATACTGATGTATACAGGGTCTTAGCAGGATCACTAATTAATTGCAGTATCTGGGCATGCTCTGCAGACCTCCTCTTTCTTATTTAACTTTCCCTTTCTGGTTAGAGTTTGCTCTCTCTTGAAGACCACATTACCAGAAGCATAAGGGAAAGGTAAAACCAAGAACGCCAATGCTGGATGTCTACTTCAGGACCAAAAAATAAGAATAATTTCCTCCTTAATTTTCCTCATTATCCCTCAAGTTATGAAAATAAGTAGAAGAAGAACTAACTTTGGAGTAGGTCATCTGACTTCATGTGAGGTACTGCACCAGAAGTTGTAGCACCTGATAAACTGGCTTTAGAACAGTGATTTACAATATCACGGACCGACACTAGAGCTGCCAGCATGACATTGTTTTACCCAGCGGAACATGTACGCATAGGGGAACTTCTGATTCATGATGAGAACTTGCTTCACCCAAGTATTTACAGATAAAAAGTGATTCACTCCCTTTGACAACCCATACAACTCCTCAGTTATTAGACACTTTTTCTAACACCCTACTTATGCCCTGTTTCATGACTCCTAGTTTCCTGCTATTGGGTTTATACACTTAGTGGATCTTATTTTATGCCTTGCCCCTTCTCATATTAGCTAAAAGATTGTTGGACCTCCATGTTAAGGTGGTTGTGAAGGTAGAAGGTTTTTTACCTTCACGCATTCTATGCATTAAGGTAAAAAACCTGAGTACAGCCCAACCGCATACTCACCTGAGCCCGATCTTGATCCAGGAATGTGCATGAGAGCCGGGACTCTCTGCACTCTCTCACTTCGCATTGGCTTAAAGACAGCAGCAGGAGCCATTGGCTCCCACTGCTATCAAGCACAGCCAGTGAGAAGGGAGCAGGGCCAAGCCATGCTCTGTGTGTCCTATACACATACAGAGGTGGGTCGGGAGTGAGCCTGCACAAGTGCCCCCCTTGCTATGGTGGGCATTCAGCGGCGGAGGGGCCAGGAAGTTTGGCGGAGATCCCAAGACAGAGCTGGTAAGTATGACATGTTTGGTATTTAAAAAAAAAATAGAACCTCTTTAATCTCCCTTCTGGGGATTAAAGCCACAACTGTTTCAATTGTTTAGGATGACATCACCATTGTGCTTAAAATTACTAACTGGTCAATCTGTGGAACTCATTTGGTCCATGCCTCTATCCTCTGAAGATGCTGTTTACAGTGAAATGCTCTATGGTGGTCCCTTTTTGCTTTTAACTCCTCTGTACTGAATGCATCTTCCCCGGGATCATACCTCGATGGAGTGGCGTGCCTGAATATTTTGTGCTGTGGGACAGCAAGGTGCTTTATCATCTCTATGTGGGATCAGTGCCTCTAGTAAGGAGTTTACCTTACATGTGGGTGGTGTGATTTCCTGGCACCCTCTATTCCTGCTGCACTGAATGCTCTCCGTCTCACACTTTGAAGTGTATCTTCCTTTGGGATTTTCCATCTTGATTTTGGATTGTTCA